CCGCCCACACATCGAAGAAGGGGAGAGGCAAAGCCTCTCTTGTAAAGTGTTCCTTCTTGAAGGACGAAGTGTGCAGCCCTTCTTCTTAATTTCCTTGTTTCACTTCTGGAAGCAGGCAGCGTTTGCTCTTTTAGATATGCCATTATGGGCTGCATCCACAATGGGGTGCCTTCTATCCATAGTAACTCTTCACCTTCGAAGGTGGAGGGCTTTGATAAGTGCTCAATGGGGACGATGTTCAGAAGCTCTGAGTTCACGCTGCTGGCCAATTTTGAGAGGGCATCTGCATGGGCATTCTCTAGACGGGGGACTTGAGTCAGTTCGAACTTTTCGAAATGGGGAATTATGTTCAGAACCAGCTTCAAGTATGCGAGCATGTTATCATCTTTGGCCGCGAAATCCCCATTTACCTGATTCACTACGAGCTGAGAATCACTACTTGCCAGAAGCTTCCTGACTTGCATTTCCTTGGCGAGCCTTAGTCCTGCCAGAAGGGCCTCATATTCGGCTACGTTGTTCGAGGCTCTAAAGCCGAATCTTACCGCACAATTCAACAAATGACCTTCCGGGCTTTCCAGTACGATTCCCGCCCCTGCGCCTGCCTCTCCTGAAGACCCATCTACAAACAATTTCCATTCGGGGGGCTCGGCTGGCTCCATCAGGGCCTCCATTTCTGGGGCTTTGGTAAATTCGACCATAAAATCGGCAAGGGCCTGGCCCTTGATAGTGTGTCTAGGTCGGAACGTGAGATCGAACTCGCTAAGCTCGATAGCCCATTTCAGTAGGCGTCCTGACTCGTCCGTCTTCTGCAGTACTTGCCTTAAAGGGAAATTGGTGAGGACTTGTATTGAGTGAGCTTGGAAATATGGCCTCAGTTTTCTCGAAGCTGTAATAAGTGCGAGTGCCAGTTTTTCCATGTCGGAGTAGCGTGTTTCAGCTGGGAGAAGTGCTTTGCTGATGTAATATACCGACAATTGACGCTCATTTTCTTCCCTGGTTAGGACCGCGCTGACTGCCACATCTGACACTGCTAGATACAGCAACAGAGATTCATCTGGATGGGGTTTCGATAGGAGGGGCGATTCACCGAGGTGTTTCTTCAGAGACTCGAAGGCCTCTTGGCACTCCGAAGTCCACTGAAATCTCTTTCCTTGCTTCAATACTTTGAAGAAAGGCAAGCTTTTATCAGTGGCTCTGGAGATGAAGCGGCTGAGGGCGGCTATCCGGCCATTGAGACTTTGGACCTCCTTTGGTTTCTGAGGACTTTGGACCTCCTTCGATTTCTGAGGTGACCTCATTTCTAGTAAGGCAGTTACCTTTACCGGATTTGCCTCAATTCCTCTCTGATTTACAATATATCCCAAGAACTGACCCGATGCCACTCCGAAAGTGCACTTGAGGGGATTCAACTTCATGTTATACCTTCTGAGTATCTGGAAGGTTTGGTCAATGCGACTCACATGTTCGGCCGCCTGGAGGCTTTTGACCAACATGTCGTCCACGTAGACCTCCATGGTTTTGCCAATGAGTTCGGCA